ATACAATGACGGCCGTTCATTGTTCCCGCAGTTAGGACTGTCGTCGCGCGATCTGCAATTCCAATCCTCGTCGCATGAAATTGCAGAGCGTCAACGCGAAACCGCGTGAATCGAAACGTCAAATACAAGATACATAGTCCCTTGTCAATCACGAGTGACAAAGAATTCATTTTTTATTCCGTACAATCTTGATATTGATTCTAAAGAGTAGCGAGTTCGCTGTTCCACTTGTCGGAAGGCTGCACGTTCTTTATGTTTCATTCGGGTTTCATCGAACCCGAGCGAGGACGACGCAATTGCGACTTCGCTCGAACTCGAAACGAAAACGAGAGTGGTACCGTCGTTCAACATGCACGGCGCATAATCAGCCAAGGTCTCCGAGGCGACGCGACGACGTCAGAACTCCGTCGGTTTTCAGCGATCCCGTTTTCGGTCCGACTCCCCTGGCTACTCGCCAGATCATCCGTCACCTTTCTAATGATCCTTCGTGTGCATTCAGGATAACTAAACTAAAATCATTGTAGAAATTTACTTTAAATGACGTCCCATTTCTCGAAACGATGATCATCGAGCTCCAAGAAAACCGATATCACTTCGACAAGCTAGACTATACACAATATTTTTCCCTATGTTCACTACGTGATTCTCATAGAGTTTCTCCAATTAAAAAACGAATCTAAAATGTTCTATTATGCAGCGTTTAAAAAAAAATAGCTGTGTTTGTAAAAATGATTTTGGGGAAAATGAAAGTAGTATATGTTTCTGTACACACTTCCTTTATCAGAAATCTCTGTAGAATAAAAATAGTCACGGAGAGTATAAAAAGAAGTATAGTAATAGTGACCTCGCTTCTTGGAACATGGACGCTACTCTTCTATCTTACGGCTTTTGACAGCTGTTCGCACTCCAACGGGAAAATAGCGAGGAGGAATCAATCGTTGGAATATCGATCATGCCGCGCGGTCAGTCATGCGTGGAGCCAACGGATGGGCTATAAAACCGCAAGCCGCGGGAACGTGCTATTCTCGCGACGCGACGGCTAGAAATAGCCGCGCGAGGATCTAGATAAGTCGTTACGTGGAACGGCCTTTATTATCGGAGTTCCCGCGAGGAAACGACGTTTGTTTTCCCGACACGACGTCGCGAGAATCGAACCGATGACGATTCTGCTGTGGTCAGCAGGTGGTACCACGTAGTGCCAGGACGCGGGATCCAGATCGCGCGTGGCGAGTCATCATCCCCAGGTGGGATGGGAAAGTCGACGGAGGAAGGAAATCGCGGTGCGCGTGCGGACTAGCTGGAACGAGGATGACGCGCGAATCCTCCTCCTCTTTCGCGTACACTACCGTTTACGATTACTTATTCAGTCGCGTTGTTAACTGAAAGAACAATTTTAATAATTGAAATTTAAGGTGACAATTTCTGAGTCCAATTTCTTTTTCTTCAAATATGTTTTTAGAGAATTATTAGAGGATTTTATAGAGACAATTATTGCATGTAGAATGCATATAAGTGCATATCATCGTCAGACGTATCACCCCTCTCAAGGCCGAATGGCGTGACAAACGATTAGTACTGCTACGATTAATGAGTCGAAGTTTTTCATTGAAACGTCTGTCGACTGATACAAAAAGCGAAGTATTATGATCTACTAGGCATTTTAATCAGATCTCGATCTATTACACGCTTTATTAATTGCTTGGAAACTTGTGGACGTTAGTGTACACCAGGGTCACGCTGCGAGACGAGTCATGCGGTCCGGAACATAAGCGAGGAAATGCTCGCCTGGTCTCGATCACGGTTGAAGTATCCGTCAGTGAGCCGACGTTTTTTCAACGATGAGCGGAATCGGAGTTACGTGACTGAAATTTTTCAAAGTCCTTACTGAGGGACAGGTTTCATAAAAACTACGCCGAAGATCTCAATCTTCGACGGTTCGATCGTATCATTATCATCGTAAACGATGGACGCTAATTTCCACTACGATTTCATTAATTATCGATCATAGCGAACGTCATCCGTCTGGCGAGAAATAGAAGGCGTGCGCGCGTTTATGGCAGTGGGTGAAAATTACTTCAGCCTCGAGTCCGCGGGTTTGCCCCTTCTAATCGCGTTAACTCGCGACGTCATTCGTCTGGTCGCGTCACACGTCGGATCGCGCGAAAGCAGATGTTTGCAAGCTCACTTAGCTCGGTCGCTCAGAGATCACGATTATTTGCGGTAGGCGAAAACTCGCGCACGCCCGGAATCCGATCGGACGTGTCCATCGAAAATCGGCTTCGCGGAACGCGTGCAACTCGTTTGATACCTTCGTTCTCCGTCTCCTTCGTCGCCACGTAGAACTAGAGTGTTTACAGCCGTCGAAACCGGCGCCGATCCGCTGCGGATTCTCGTCACGTGCGGGGAAACGATCGGCATGCTCGCGTTTTTTTCTCTGCTCGATCAGGTCGAGGAAATTGTACCCGCGGCGAGCGACACGCCGTGCCAATCGCATTCCCGACGCCGGGCTCGTGGAAATCGTTGACCGTGTTCGGCGCGGGACGAAATTGAACGACGCTGTAAATCGAACGGTACGGATATTTGCCGCACCAAAATGGCCAGCGAGAAAATTTGCGGCCGGTACTCGGAAACCCGATCGATTAATACCGATATGGACGCGGCGTGATACCCGGAGACGATTTAGAGTTAATAACGAACCGCATCGAGCTGCATAAATGGAGTGTCGGGACGGTCGTCCTCTTGGAATACGCTTTTGGAACTGTCCGGTTTTTACCCATGTTTCATCACTGCTTTTTGTAAACAGTTTTTGTACCATCATTCGATCGTAGTCTTCTCGTTGAATTTCAATGCGATTAGAATTCAGTCACGATATTTCTATGCCTCTAAGTTCCATCTTCGGCCAATGAGATTTCGATGATACGTTTGATACAGATTAAGCCATTTAACAATGATCGTTATCTCTGAATCAGTTCCATGATTCATAGTCCTTCGACGTGCTCGAATCAAATATGCTTATCAAAGAAAAATCTGTGCCTCATAAAAATTTCAAACGACGTCCAACGCCATTCTCGTGGCAGTCGTATCATTGAAAAAACGGCCATAAAATCCATACTCATTAAAACTCACTGGCTCGGCCACGAAACCATGTTCCGACGCGTTTCCCCGGCCCCATTCCGGGAACGATCTCCTGCATTTTTCATCGATAATTTGTCAAGCTTTCCCGCGCTCGCCAACTTCGTTCACGATCACGGACAAACAGTTTTCCCGGCGGCGTTTTTATACGGTGTTACAAATCGGTTCGGGATTCCGGGCATGCCGGCGGATTTGCTGCCTGTCCGCGACGAATTTGTCGCGATGAGCCTTAAACGGCGCGCGTTTCAACCGCCGAAGAACGTTTTTCTCGTTGCACCGATTCCGATTTTCTGGCGACCCGGACCAGAACCGGAGGATAGGAAAAAAAAAGCGTGAGACGACTGCGCGCGTAAGTTGCCCGTTACGTAATTTTGCTCGCGAATCCTGTTGTCCAGTTTTCTGTCTACGGTCAAGATACGGACAGCTGACTGAGCCTGACCAACGCAATCTATACCGGGAAACACGTTCTCTAATTCACACTCTTTTCATAAAGACCTCCGATGACGCGAAGCAACGATCAAAGATCGAATTCGTTTTTTCGCAAATGCTGCCGTCGAAATTATTTGCGCAGTCCTCGTGCAAAAGTTCGGAGCAAGAAAACTTTCGAATAATAAATTCCCGTTTGTTACTTTTACCGTTTCACCGACGCTAAATCTCCGCGTACAGTGGGTCATAATTCCTGAACAATGAGCATTTCGTAGGCGGAAGCGATCGGATACCGTGACAGATCTCGCATGCACAGGCGCACGAATGGCACGGTGACCCCTTTCACACAGTCGCGGTGACAGCCAAGGATCATCTGGCGTACACGGGAGCCAGTTTCATCTAAGATGAAGAGATTGCGGGCCGAGAGGTACCGCTTCTGCTGCCGCCGCTGGTCCGTTTCCATCTCTCGCGATCATTACCTGTTTGTCGAGCGTTGCGCCGCGCCGTTGTTCCCGAATCCCAGGCGATTAATCAACGCCGTGGCTCCTTGACACTGGAATCCTTCGATTCCGCGTTTTCTCCTCGATCATCTCGCTACCCGGCTCGCTAGTAGGAATTATTCTAATTGCGCAAAAAGGAGACGAGAAAGCTTCGATTGATTATCGGTTGTCGCGTGACTCATTGATGAGACGCGGTCCCAGTAATCTGGACGCGTTAACGTCGAGAAATGTGTGCCACGGGTATAAAGCATCGCGGACGGTTCCATCTCATTTGGAATGAGTACCGCTACCCGAGCTTTCGGATTTTCAAACCGTTAGGCCGCCCACGTGGACGAGTCAGGTGGAGCCCAGAAGCGACGCACTTCTGGTTCGCCATAAAATATGCTTAGATCGGATCTCTCATTTATTTTGTAATTTAAACTCACGATCAGATGCTAAATGAATAAAGTAATTATGGAAGGTTTCAAAAAATTTATATTTATATTGAAGAACTGTGGATTTTTATTCATAAACGTAAGTTATACAATAAAGGGTATAATTACTAACTATAATTAAAGTATAAAATGTGCGTCTACCAGTCTCGCTCTACACTATTAAAAGAGAAGTGCTCGACACTCGAGATACGCTCAATTAACGAGCAGTCGAGAGTTCGAGGCAGAGGGATCGTGAATCAGATCACGTTGCCATCAAGGCAGTTTTATTATCGGCCGACAAACGTTTAACTTTACGAGCAGTCCAGGTCACACACACACCTTTCTCCTCTCCTCGACCCATGCTAATTCTCGTGATGCGCATAACATTAAGTTCTAAACTCTGACGCTTAATTCGATGGAGGACCTGCACGTGGGTTGGAACAATTTTATTTATCACATCTTATAATTTTTATCTCTAATCCAGAGTCGCTCGCCCAACTCATCTTTTTTTCTTTCTTTCTGATTACAGTCTTTCTTCGGCAGAACGTACAATAACCTTAGCAGTATATCGGAGTGCAAGAACGGAGGCGTATGCGTAATCAACAAGAAGAACCGTACCGCATGTAAGGCGTGCCGACTACGAAAATGCCTGTTGGTCGGGATGTCGAAGTCCGGCTCGCGATACGGGCGCCGATCCAATTGGTTCAAGATCCACTGCTTGCTCCAGGAACAGACTAACGGGAGCCAGGCCGTGACTCCGATGTCCGGTGCGCCTTTCGCGCCTGGCTTCCTCCCGGGGTTCGTGCCTCAGGCCCAAGGCCAGCAAACTGGCGGCGTGTACAAGGACGGAAAGGATCGCGCTTCACCTAGTCAGGAAGACCTAGCCCTTCAATCGCATCTGCTGCACGTGGCGATGCTGAAACAAGAAAGAGACAGGGGTAATAAGTCCCCGCACCCTGACGACGTTGCTCTTCACAATCAGCTCCGTCTGATAGCTTGGCAAAGGGAACGAGAGAGGGTCGGCGGTCATCCTCAACAACCTCCTGGAACACCACCCAGAGAACAGACACCGCCACCCTTTTACAAGCATCAGCAGCAACAATCGAAATCCCCGATGTTCCCGGTGAACTTTGCACAAAAAGACGGCGTTTGCGTACCAAGCAGTCCCTCGGACGTCTTCCGACCGTTTCTCCCGACGTACAAGAGGACGGCTGATACCCCGAGCGACAGCGGAGCGTCGTCAGTGGATGGTGGTGACGGTCAGGACACCGAATCTAGGAGTAATTCGGCACTGAGCTATTTTAAAACCAGCGTCGCGTCTCCGACGTTGTCTGAACGCGAATTTCCACCCAGGAAGATCAACGCGACGGTCACGTTGACAACGGGTTATCATCCTCATCAGAGTTTAGGAGTTGTCTACCCTCCCCCCGGCTTGATAACACCAGCGACGTCTCAACACTCGCCCAGGGGCGGTGATCTGCTTCTGGTGAGTCCTAGTCCAGGCGGCCTGGCCGTCGAGCAGGACGAACCGATCGATCTCAGCGTAAGGTCGAGCAGAAGCTCGCCGAGACCGAGTCAATCCTCGGAAGAGGACAACAGATTGAACGGGATCGAGTGCGACCGCGAGAGTCCCGTAAAAGAAGAAACGACGACCAAAAGTAAACCGCTGGACCTGACACTGAGCGTGAAAAGGCCGACCGAGTTGCCAATGTCGTTGTGAACGTCGAAACGATAGGCCCGCGACGGGCTGGTCCCGAATCTGTACTGACACGATCTGAGCATCACCCGAATCCTGGTTGCGAGGATCGAGTAGTGAATTCGTTTAATTTACGAATTCACAGGACAACGTCCGGAGCGACGGATGGGAAGTGCGCATCGATTCTACGATGCGCATCGAGTGTGCGATGAAGCGAATGACGTCCACAGGAACGGAATTGAGAAAGAATCGTGGCCAAATGCGTCCGTCCACGAAAATGTGTTCAAACTTGTACATACGTCACCGACCTGATCCGCGTGAGCATTTAATTTATTTACGAGTGAATATCACGAGTCGCGTTGTCGCTTTTCGATTCTTCGCTGGTGGAGACGAGGTAGAAGCTGCGAACAAAGGTGTGTAAATAAGAACCGTAGTACGTCGGCCAGGAGAGTGCCTTAATATAATATATTTATGATAAAATATTATATATTGTATATTGTATGTGTATTTGAAACGGATTTTATACTTCGTGCGGTCTGTTACGACTTAATCGTGTAACGATTATAGTGCGGGAATACCCAGAGACGGGAAGACACGTTTTGTTTCCGATCGCATCCAGCCATGACGAGAGGCCGGTTAATAAAACGAGAGAGAGACCTAATGTCACACATAATAGAGCGCATGCATAAATCGAATCTTATGCATCTTGTAAATAAGTAAACGTATTAGGGGAGGGGAGGAAAGTCTGAGAAGAAACCTGTCCGCGGATCGCTTTTATTTTTTTTACGGACCTCTCGAACGGCGTTTTTTTACTCACTTCTGATTTTCTTTATCTATCCTTTTGTACATGATCATTCTTTTTAAACACGAGCGGCCAGTACTTAAACGTAACGCGGAATTAAATACAATATTTTTGTTTAATCTACGAAACGAGCCTGAGTTTCATTTGCACCAACTACCTCCCCCTTCTTAACGAAATTAAATAAACGTTATTTCCAATCTTAAAGTTGTGCTGATTTTTCTCTTTGCAAATTGAGGAGGAAGAATGCAGTTGAAACAAAAGATGATGCAGCCCCGGCAACCTTGGATCATCGGCCACGGTTCGATCGCATCGGGACACGGTCAAACGAGTATATATAACGCGGCTCGCCATTAATCAATGGCGAACAGGAAGCGCGAGAGCGCGTTGCAAAATCCTCGAGTTACGGATACCTGCCCACGCGGTTGACCTTGCCGGGCCGAACGTTCCTTCCACGTCCGGATCGCACGCGATCAGGCGCCGCTACTAGTCCGTTAAATCGCATCGTCTCTTCTACGCTGTTTATTCGCTCCACGTGACGCGTCGCGTCTTCTCCCTGCGATCACCGATGCTAATCAAGCGTAGCTTCGCGATAATTACTTTACGTAACGCACGAAAGCCAAACGGCGCTCCGGCTTTTAAACGTCCGTTTATTTTTCACAGAATTCAAATATTGAGAAAGCAGAAATTAAATGCAGAACCGCGACGGTAAGTAAATTCGATTTTCTTAATTGATAGGTTGAAAGGTAGAGAGCAAATAAGAGAGTCGCTCGTTGCTCTAAGTTCATCGAGACACGTTTACCAGAGACGTCCATAATTCGCTGACCGGCAGAATCACTCATTTCACGCGGTAATGTATACGCGACATAAGGGACCGCGTTCCGCGCGGTAGGTATCGTCACGAAAAAACTGGTACGCCCTGAAAAATCGCTACTGCGTCCAGGTCGATTTGCCCGGCCGGCGGATCGCGAGCGGACGCGCACGTACATGGACCGAACGCGGCCCGCATTCGCTAATGGATCTCCAGATCGTTACCTGCTGGACTCACCTGGGAATATCGTCCAAGTGTTTGAGAATCAGTCTCGTCATATCAAAAACGAGTGTGATCGATATTATGAAGTCTAGTTATACAGTTTCTCCAAGAGAAACTTTCTTTGCATTCCTAAGATTGTCGAATAAAATTCATCATAAGTAGACACCGAATTTATCTGCAACTGAAAGTATCTAAGATAATATAGGAAATTGAATTTTGTGTCATAACACACACATTGCCTCTAATATCTTATATATCCATTACTCAAATTCTAGCACTTAATTATCTTGTGTCTAATTGTAAAAAATTGAAGAAGTTCATCACTGACGATAGACAAGATAAATGTTGAACGTTTTTCTCGCGTCGATTTCGTAAGAGGAACAAGTCAAATCAGAAACGAGTGCCTAAGAGGTACGAAGATCTATCTCCTATACTAACAAACCACGCGGAAGCCTAAATCCATTATTCAAACTGCTCTTAACTTACTACAATCTATACCGTTCTACTATAAATCACCTATCATCTATTTTGCTTCTCAAAATTCCCTTGGAGATCACCCCACGCTCCAAGGGGAGCAAGATCCGTCCCGGACAGTGGGACAACGTCCCGAGCCAGCGTGCGGTGTCCACGGAACTGTGCAGAGCACCGGAACACGGATAACAAACGGGCGAGAGACTCGACTGCGTCAGTCCGTTGCGGCAGCAATAAGCAATCGCTTTAGACTCGTCATGACTCTATGCATGAGAGTTGACTCAACGTTGCCGAGACGATTTTGCGGCCTCTTGCCGAGTGAAATATCGACGAACGCGCTGGCCAGTCGACCGGAGATCGACATTTATTCGCGCTGCGGGAGAAACTGGAGCGATCTGGATCTCCAACGAGCCTCTGCTGTGATCGAAAGCATCGTTCGATCTCGAAAAACGTTTCGTATTCTATTGTAAATAATAACGGCAATCGATATTGTAAATACAAATGCTGGTGGTAAAATATAAAAAAGTCACCTTAATATGCTAAAGAGTATAAAATGTATAATACATCATTATTTGTGTAGAGGATAAAAGAATTCTCATTGTCAGTCTAGATTTCATTAAATCGACGACAGAAATGTTTCATTTTGCGTACAAATCCGCGGTATATCTATAATCCTTGAGTCAGACTTATTTTTTTATTAAGATATATACATATATGTATGTATATGACAGTATTGTATCAGTATTCCCTACAGCAGAGACGCTTGCCGATCGATTAAGAATCAAGAGCTCTAACGTTGACCAGTTCATTTGTGTAATACAAAAAACGATAGACCGTTCGCATCGTTGAAATTCCTGAGAAGTCAACCAGAAGTCTTTAGGATGCACAGGAGGCGACCGGGAGTACCTGTCCAGTGGCCGTTTGTCTTTCGGGTTTCGAAGGGATGCTGTGCTCTATGAAAGGAGAAACGCGAGTAGAAAATAAGCGAAACGGCCAGCGTAGCGCGCTAGTGCTCGATGTCAACAGCTCTCGAGGGAGTTGGAAGTCCATCGGACACGAGGAGCCATTGATCGACTACTCACTCACGTTCTACGCGGCTCGAATAAGAAGTCGCCTCGTGTAGAGTCTCGTATCTCGTGTCCTATCTATTTTTTTCCCCCGTCCGCTCCTACCGTTTCTCGATTAAGAAAATTAACGATTGAAAGGATGCGAGTGGAAACGGGAGAGGAAAAGGACGAGCGTAATGAGCCTTAATTGATTACAACGAACGTGCGGTCTCGTAACGACGACTGGCCGCGATAGCGCTGAGTAATGAGCCGTGTCCTGGAGTGATTATTAATTTATATGGTTACTATGTCTCCCGCGCGTCAATCAGTAAAGCTGCTGCGCCGAGATTTGCGTTCCGCGGATTGCGTAAAGGAAAATTCTTCGACTGAAGAAACGCTGAAATCCTTGCTCTTCCAGTAGACTGAACGTAAAGAGTTGTTGTTTGGAATGTAAAATATCGAGATCAGATACATTTCGTCGAGGATACAATTCGCTCAGTTGGAAGAGATCCACATTTCGATGGTCAAATCGAACGAAACCAGACTACGGCGCGTTGACTTCCTGCATGACCGTATACGCGACTCCGAAGAAGAGGAAAACGTACCTCGGAGGAGGAGGACGAGGTGAAAGAATGGAGAGGATGGAGCAGAAAAGAAGAAGGAAACCGTGGCGTGCACGGAGAGCGTTAGGGGTTAACGAGGGCCGATCGTGCGATCGGTCGATCTTTCCCAAGAGGCAAGGCGGCCCAATTAGAAGGCACGTAAAAGCCGGGCGCATAATCAGCAATTTGTATTGTCGGGGATAAGGCACTGTGCTTTGCGAACAGTGGAGTCTCTCTCTCTCTTTCTGCATGTCCTTCTTTATTCTTGGTCTATTATAATGTGTGTGTAGCACGATCTCGTTGCGAACACGGTTTCACCGATGCCGGAGCCCACTTTGCGGAATAACTTCATACGCGTAGGAGGAGGAAGAGAGAGAGAGAGCCACGGCGGATGGCACCCGATTAAGCTATGCAATCGCCAATTATCGGCAATTTGATCCGGTTATAACTCAATTTATAGTAATTGGGCCGCGATTGTGGTACTGGTACACTCTTTACAATCTTCTTCGTCTTCCTCTTCTGTGTAAGTTTTCTTTTTGCACGAGCCGTGGCCGTGTATAATGTTGGAACGTGTTACTGCTCGGTACCACGAACGGACAATGCATAGTTGAGAAATGATGATGGTGCGCGTGCTCGCCGACGAGGGAAGAAGATATCGCGGCTCGCCGTGTTTGAGCGACTCCGGCCCGGTCGCTTTTAACACCCCTCGACGATCGTAAATTGCCGATCCCCGTGGTGTGAACGTGCGCGCACGAACGGGACGGTGAAAGATGCGTGCATGCGCGGCGAATCCTTCCTCCGAATGCAACCACCCATTTACGAAGTGGAAAACCGAAACGTCTTATTATCAGCAACCCCTCTCGCGCAAATTTTCGGACCAGATTGCAGCTTGCGCCCCGGCAACCGTCTATCGACTGTTGCTCCGTCCGAGCTAATCACGAGATCGAGCAACCAGCTGTGCTCGGAGGAGCTGATCTCGATTTAATGATCCCGTAGGGTCAGAGAGAATTGGTTACAAGATTTTAAATTAGAGCAGCTCCCTCGACCGATTCTTTTCTAACACTTGAAGAGCGTATCGACGGGCTAATTTAGGGGCTAGAGGAGTCGCGTGACTTTTCTCATTTCAGGGCACTTTGGTCCTTACTTTTTGATTTTTGCTTCACTTCGTAATGTTAGAAAAATCATCTGACTACCCTTGACAATTAGAGTCGATGCAAAGTCATTCAGTCATTTCTATTCTGTTCAACGACCTTACTCAATATCCATTCACGTTGTCGACACGTTTCTCTAAGGACTCAGTTGCCAAATTTTCAGTATATCGCAACAGGTGGTCACGCGTGCCACGATCAAATAAGTTCTCACTCGCCCTCGTCCCGCTCAGGGATCCTCGTGCCCTGTCCTTCTCGAGGCTCGCGTTTCGCAACGAGGCGAGGCGATGCGAAGACCGACCGAGTAGCGTATCGGCTGGATCGTTACGTCGTCGTCGTGCGGCCGGTTCGCGCCCGTTGACAAATTTGACAAGACACGCAATCGATCGCTCTTAACCGGCGCTAATCGATACAGCGATCGGTTCATTAGGCGGATCAGGCTCGTTTCGCTCCCTGCGGCCTGACCGCGGATCGAGCGCGACGGGAGAGGTATATTGGCTTTTCGATCACGTCGGCTCTCACGGAAATCTCACGATTGCGAGCAGCGCGCATGTACCACGGCCTTCCTTCTTCGACGATCTCGCGCCTCGATCGGTACCCACGGCTCTACGTGTATACCCGTGTATAAATAAAGCCGCCACCCCTTTTCCGTCGATGCTCTAGCTGGAAACAAGGTTACCGAGCCGTGGAAAACTGTCCAAGCCAGTCGAGATTGATAGTCAAATACGGTAACAGGCTATGCCTGTTACCTTTCCTACACTGATTTGATTGATCCTTTTAGGTTTGAAGAATTAATCTACTCAGGCCGACTCGTAATACCATTTAAACGCACGTGAATTTGGAAATTGACTCTTTCGTGATCACAAGTAGCATTTCAATCTACTAATCTCGTAGATCAGATAATTCC